AGGTTCCTAGACATCCAGCTGTTTTTTGCCCTGGCCCCATAGGGAAAAACCAAAATAAGAGAATCTTTTCAGCACTGTGGGGATTAAAGACTTGACTTTTTCTGTTTCCCCAACAGTTGAGAGACCACATTTGAGTGCATTTCCTCCAGCTGTTCCCATAATAACTGCAGCATGGCTGTGAGCTTCCCGCGTGATTCTCGCTGAGTCAGATCATCTTCCACGTGGTAGGGGTGGGGCCCCGTGGTACTCAAGTCCCGAGTGTGCCCTTCACATCCTAGAAGACAGGCTCGTGTCCCCTGGAGTTGAGCAGTGCACACTGGAGGATGTTTATGGTCCTTGAAAGATCATATGAAGGAGCTACAAGGTCAAGCTGTTTCCCTCATGACATGCCCAATATTTCCTGAACATGCTCACACACACACCCCTTCCCAGTAGCCTTGGTCCCACTTTGGTGTGTCAAGCCCAGGCAATCTCTTTCTCAGCCCAAACATCATTTGAGACAAACCGAAAAAGGTTTCCCTCTGAGAGCAGGCTCAAGTGTAGGCGGGACGTGTGGTTAGACATGGCACGAAGGAGACACGAGTGACAACTCTGAGGGAACCAAGAAAGCCCAAAGGGGAGACAAGTTTTAGAGCTAAATCAAGATTGGATTTTGTCATGAAAAGCTGAACTGGCAAAAGCATCATTACAAGGCATTAACCTTGTTACACACAGAAGAACAAGCAGAGGCTGGGATTCAAAAATAAATTACACATAATAAACTAGACAGAATAGGCAGCAACATTACCAATTATGCCCTAAGGGGGAGAGAAGGGCAAGATAGAAAATAGACCAAAAAAAAAAAAAAAAACCCATGAAAGTGAAAATTATCTCTGGACACGGGGGGCCACAGCATTATTTCCCCCCCTTTTTTTACTTGACTCCCCAGGTATTAATTTCACTTTTGTGAGCAGGTTTCTCTGGAGCCTGTCTGTCTTTTGTTTTCACTTGCCGAAATGAGCAAAAGAAAGCCATTTAGAGGGTTCTTTTTTCCATTCACAGGGACCTGTCCATTTCTGTGTGTTTCCAACACAAAAGAATCCATTTCCATTCAGCACGAGCAGCCCTTCAAGTTTACATGAAGTCCAAGCCCGCTTTTTCCTATTTTCTTCCAGACTCGCTGTTGTAATTGGCTGCACAATCCTGACTACGGCCAGGGTTCTCCAGAGTGAGAGGAAAACACTCAAACAGTTCTGATCCCTCATGGCTGAGGAAAAGCTAGAGTCTAGTGCATGTTCAACAGTCATGACTCTCATTTCTTACACAGAGACTTCCTTTGGGTTACAAGTAACAGAAAACCCAGTCAAATAGCAGCTTAAACCATGACGTCTATTGTTAGTAAAAAGCTTAAAGGTCGGAAGTCTGTGCTCAGTGGTGTCCCCAAGAACCGAGTGTCTCTTACCCTTCCCCTGCAACACTGTTGGTTTTCATCTCCCATCTTGAATTCATGGAAGCACAATGGCTGCCACCTTTCTGCATGGATAGCCTCACATCAGAGTCCAAAGGGAGAAATGTAGGAAGAAGAACAAAGAGCTCTCCTCAAAAGCCTTCTCTTAGCAAGGAGGAAGCTCATTCCCGGAAGTGCCTCTAGTGGATTTCTGGGATCTTACTGGTCCAGACTGGGCCACATGGCCACCTCTAGTTCTAAGGGGTGGGAAAGTGAGTAGCCAGGCAATGGAGAATGGGATAACCATGAAGCTTGGGCCAATCATAGTTTTCCCAGGCTTGGGTTTATTGTGACCTGAACAAAATTAGCGTTTTGTGGCAAAGGAGATGGGTTTAACTGCCATGGGCGTGGCAGCAACTGTTTTGTGTTTTAAATAAGGTAATGATAGCAGGCATGGGTTGTAAGTTATCACGTGCCAGACTTTACTCAGTTTCCTGAGATTTGCGTCCTAACTCATTCAGTCCTCGTGGCTAGTCCATGGCACAAATTCCTCTTAATGGTCACTTCTGTTATATAGAGGAGGAAATTGAGTCACAGAGAGGCTACATAATGTGTACAAAGTTACTTAGAAAGTGACAGAGCCATGATTGAAAGCCTGAAAGTCTGTCTCACCACCCTACAGGAATCCTTATTTGTTGGAGTATTATAAAATACTCCACGAAAACACAGTAAATGCATGTTTCTGCTTCTCTGGTAGCTCAGTCAGTAAAGAATCTGCCTGCCAATGCAGGAGACATGGATTTGATCCCTGGGTCAGGAAGATCACCTGGAGATGGAAATGGCTACCCACTCCAGTATTCTTGTCTGGGGAATCCCATGGACAGGAACCTGGTGGGCTACAGTCCATGGGGTCGCACAGAGTCAGACATGACTTAGCAACTAAATCACCACCAATAGCAGCTAGCATGTATTAACGTGTTATTATTATTACAGTCATTATTCTCTCTCCTTCATAACTACCCTACCAATCAGGTACCATTGGCCTTATTCACACCTGAGAAAACTAGCTGTCAACAGGGTTCCATAAATTGCCCAGATAATCCAGTGGATGAGAACCAAACTTGAATTGTAAACCTAACCTCTCTGACCCCTAGTTCCAGGTGGTTTGTTCACCAGCTCTCAAGTTCTGAGAACATTGATTTAATGGCCATGCTAGTTACCTGTGCTGTTGATCCAGGACTTAATTTGGAAAAATGCAATTATTGAGAAACAGTCAGAAGTCAGGGAAAGATGTTAGAGAAGATGAAACAGTAATTTAGAAGCAATTTTCTCCCTGTTCCTTGTCAGCTTTTGAGCCACTTCTGGGTTTTTTGGAGTCAATCTTTCACAGAGTATTTCATCCCACCTCAGCAAAGGCTAACTGTGATATAATGGTTCTTGGCTAATCTGAATCACTGCAGTTATTAAGTACCTACTGTATACCAGATATGGGCTTCCCTCGCAGCTCAGGTGGTAAAGAATCTCCCTGCAAGGCAGGAGACCTGGATTCAATCCCTGGGTCAGGAAGATCCCTTGAAAAAGGAAATGGCAACCCACTCCAGTGTTCTTGCCTGGAGAATCCCATGGACAGAAGAGTCTGGCAGACTACAGTCCATGTGGTGGTAAGAGTTGAACATGACTTCCATTGTCTCATTTGGCCCTTGTGGATGCATAATCAGCAATCCAGAGTCATTACTCTGTATCATAGGAGGAGAGAGAATGGAGTCCTCCAGCCAAAAAGAGCAGTGTTAGAACATTCCAGACGCTCAGACAAAGATGACATCCAGTTCTCTGAGTGAAGCACTTCTGAGATGCTCAAATATTTAACAAAAATAAGAAGTGTGGTCAGCTGATCTTAAGTTTGAACAATTCTGGTTTTATTTTAAAGCAAGATGTGTGGTGTGGTTTTATTTTTTTTTAAATCTAAAGGTCACCGATTTTTCTTTTTCTACTCATAGTCACGAGGGATCCTTATCTAAACAGTGATCTATTGTTCTGATCTTAGACTCATAGAGATTTTTTTTTTCCTTCAACTTCATTTTCACAGGACAGTTCCTCATCTTCCCTGATGGTATGAGAAATAATTTTTAACAGGAAAAAAAAAATCTCTAATGAGCTTTCTAAAAATCTTCTTCACCTGAGTTCACTATGGAATATTTTATGCAAATAAGTCACTTTCTCTTAGGTTATGACATCTCTTACTTGAAAAGAGATCACGGCATTGGAGAAACCCTTGCCAGCTTATCTTTTCCTCCCAGCGCAACTTCAACAAAGAAATATAGACGGTACTTTAAAGGCTTCAGAAATCAATTTGGTCCATGAATCCATTTAGTTTAGATGTTAATGAAACTTGGTGGGTTTAACAATACTGAATATTTAATAAGACATAAATTGAAATACATAAACACGGTCGTCAGTACTATAATGAAGTTAATAAGTCTCAGCCTCCCCCTGCCCCTCTCCCCCCGCCCCAAATGGGGTGGTTTTAGGAGTTGCCCTGATGCTTACAGAAGTATGCGGGCTCTCCCATTGGCTGAAATGTAAATGTGCCTTTCTTTGCAAACCTGAGTACAGTTGGGAACTGAGCTCTGGCAGATAACGTATGCTATCACACTGTGTTCAGTAGCTACAGAAGGCAACGACTCTTTCTAGCTCCATATCTTCCAGAGATTTGTATAACAAACTCCGTTTCCTGTCGTTGAAGGCAGGAAGCAGCGTGAAGCACTTCATGCCTTTAAACAAGAAAGAAAAAGACATTTGGGGCGATGCACTCTCTGCTCCGGGTTAAAGAGGGGCTTTATTTAATGATCGGGAGTGAGCCTGTGATTATATGTGCTCAGAACCTCAGACCATTTAAATGCCTTCAGGTTCAGAGTTAGGTTTTTCGTTTCTTCCTCAGGAACATGAGCACCAGGTCTAGTCCTTGCATTTGGTTCCTCCTTAGCTCCGTGGCGCTCTCTTACCCACCATCCATGACTCTGTCTTTCCCTCTTTACCCTCTGAATGACTTACCCTGTCTCTGGGCTAACACACTGGCGCCTTCTTATAAATCCAGACTCCTTCCTCTCTACCATCACATCGAATAGGATGGTCCATCTCACATCTTAGGAAATGGCTTGTTTAACCTTGCAGAAGCCAAACCCTCACCAAAATAAATTGTCGCATATTCCTGCAAATAGCCATGTATAAGACTGTCTCCTTCCCAATTCAGTGTGGGTTCTTTCTTGGCAATAAAGTGGACCTCGGTTTCATATATCTGCTGGAGGAGTGTTAAATGGATGGCTAGCTCACTGCTGGCAATCAATACATGTTAATACGCAGTAAACAAATGGCTTTCCACAGGCTGGGCAAGCACAGTGATTCTGCAGATAAAGGGGATAAAAGGTTGCTCCTGGGGATCTTGCCTAAACAAATGTATTGGGGGCGCCAGTAGGATCCTTCCCAGGTGGGCATGAGTGACATTTTATCATGAGAATTATCACTGTTAAAAATTATCTTTTTGTTTTTTAATTTGTACGTTTGTGTGCATGTTCAGAAAAACGAGGATGAACCTGAAAGAGTCGAACCAATCGCATCATCTACTTTGATCCATTCCGACCTGACATCCGTTTATGGCACCGTGGTAATGAACAGGACTGTTTTATTCTTGGGGACTGGAGATGGCCAGTTACTTAAGGTTGGTTCTGTGTGCCTTCTTCAATGTCGATTTTAATATTGATCCATTTGGGCCTTTGGCCTTTTTTGGTTGTTTATTTTTTATTGCTTCTAGTTTATGCACAAGAACATACCAACTGCTTTATGTACTGCTCAGAGAGCACCCCCCCTCATCCCTGAAATGGCCTGAAAGAAATTTCTAGAAATGTATTCATAATAACCTCCCTATCCATGTGTGAACTTGTCAAGGCAGTTCCTTTCCTTACTCATAAGCTGCCTGGGTGAAGCATATGGGGGTCTGGCCCTACCCCATCCTTGATTTACCTTCCTAAGACTTTTAACCTTTCAATTCTGTCTCCTTTATGATGGAAATGTACAAAGCACCTGATTTCTCATAGCTTCAAAGAGATTGTAGGGCTAAAAAGAAGATTAAAAAAAAAGAAACTCAGATGTTCCTTCTCCCCAGCCCACCTGCCACCCACATAGGGGGTTTGTTTTCTGCCCTTTGTACCCACACCCAGCACACAGAGGTTAGAGATCTGAAACCCTTTGAGACTCCCCTTGACTTTTATCTCTGAGGACTTTTTTTCCACTTGGTGGGTATACCACTGCTCAAGTTGAGATTTTTATTCACTGGGGGAGAGGGGCAGTGGGAAGGAAGAGAAAATAAACTCAAAGATACTACATGCCTCTGAAATTATATAGCGGTTATCGTATCAATTTCTTTAGTAAGCATTTATTGAGCACCTCCTGTGACCACCAACAGTCATGGTTCAAAAGGGCACTGTTTCTTTCACCCTAGTCTGATTCTCCTTTGTCTCTCTGTAGCCAGTTAATTTATTCCAATTCAACACTGAATACTAACAGATTTGTTTTCTCCAAGGATTTCCCAATGACAACTAGCTGTGTGACTTGAGGTGAATCGCCTAGTCTCCCCAAGCCTCCATTTCCTCGTCTGTAAAATGAGATTGTACTGGATGACCTAGGAAACCCCTTTTCCTTCTGGTGGTCGCTGGTTCTGTCTTCTGTGCAGTCGTGCCCCGCTGTAGCCAAACCTGCCTGCTGGCTGGCTTCCTCCAAAGGTGCCCCCCGCACGGCTCCCACACCTCTGCTTACACTGGACCTCCTCCCTGGGTTACTCTTGCTTTTATCCCTCTGCTTTACTGAATCCTGTGAGTCTATGCTTTATCTCAGCTCAAACCCCACCTCCTCTCTGAGCCCTCCTCAGGCTGGAGTGATCACATTTCTCCCTCATCTCCCGAAATACCCATTGTCTCTATCATCCTTCTGACTTGTTACAGATGTCTTGCTCAGATGCCTGACCTTTCCTCGTGTGCTTGTCTTGCCTTCCTAACTGGATTTTAAGCTTCCTGAGAAAGGAGGCCGGGAATTCCCACAGCCCGGTACAGGGCTGAGTGCCTGGTAGATATTTGATTTAATCTGTTTTCCTTGGAGGAAACCCAGTAACATATGGGAGGGGGTTTGTTTGTATACACGTTCTTTTAAAGTATACATTGATCATCTTTCCTGTTGTGTGAGCCTTATTTCCTGGGGAAAGGTAAACACCCACCCGTCCTTGTGCACAAGTTGCTCACCACCGTCTCTGGTGTCGGGCAGTGTCTGGAGCTACTGTGACCTGGTCAGACTGATTAGACCCGCTTCGCCTGGCGGAAGAAGTTTCTGCCAGCCCTTACTGGGTCTCCTCACCAATTCTCTCCTCAGATGTGGGATATTTTTGACGAGCGTTTTGACAAGAACACCGTTTCCCCAAAGCTGAGCCAACCAAACTGTTAGATGGTAAATTGGAGGTGAAGGAACACTTGGCTATAAATAGTTCCCCATGGGACGGCCTGGTTTCGCCTGTCCCGTTTGTTCGCCCCCGCGGTTGGTGCGCACCTGGCTGGCGTGTGCTGATGTTGTGGTACTTGAGGGGTGGAATTGAGCTGCAGCCTCAAGCTGCTGAGGAGGAGGTGGCTGACCCAAGTCTCACTTTCTTCGGCATCTGTCCAGGCTTCACCTTCAAAAGTCGCATCTGTAGCCTTGCTTGTAGGGTTCCAATAACAGGGGCAGGTCCATTTTCCGTTTCCTTGTTTTGTGCTCGTCACTCTACCTGTTCTAACTAACAGTCCGCTCCACCACTCGGTGAGGTAGATCGGGGTCCCCACCCTCGGGGCTGAGGACTGGTACCTCTGGTCAGGTCAGTGGTGGCATTAGATTAGAAATAAAGTGCACAATACATGTAATGTGCTTGAATCATCCCTGAAACCATCCCCCCACCAACCCCAGGTCTGTGGAGAAATGGTCTCCCATGAAACCAGTCCTTGGCATTGCAGTCCATGGGGTCACAGAGAGTCAGACACAACTTGGCTACTGAATGACAGCAACACGTGGCAGAGCAGGGATTTGAACCAGGAGCCACTTCAGAGGCTGACCAGTATCCCTCAGGCTTGCTCTGACTTGGTAGCTGCTGCCTCAGGTGTGGGCAGCCACTCCATGAAGGGGCTCTGGGGAGAGTGGGAAGGCGGTTGACAGGAAGTCGTGGTGACTGGGCTGGGGGCGGGGCGATGAAGTCGGGGTTCTTAGAAGCTCAGGGAGGAATCCCAGCTTGAGAAGCAGCAGACCATCTGACTGAGGGAATACCTCACTGGCAGGATAGCTTCTTAGGAATTAGACTCTACCCACAGCTCCCCCTCAGGAGGATTCCGCCCTCGGGAGGAGGCTGTGGGCTCACCTGCCCACCCCTGCCTGACTCCCTAGGACAACCTGGCCACTCCCAGACTCCCACCAGGAGCCCTGCGCACAGAGGGCTCGGTGCAGCCCCTTAAACCACCATCCAGAGTCCCGAGGAACCGGCTCTGGGCAGGTGCTTTGGGAGAACCTCCAAATCCTTCATTCAAAAACTTCAAGCCTGTCCCTTGCCAGACTTGTCACTGGAACTGTTGGAAAAGACGAACATTGATAGACACAAGCTTGGCTTCTTAAGCCGCAGAGCGGAGTTACTAATGAGCAGAGAAAAACAAAACCCAACCCAAGGCAGCCTGAGGGGGGGAGGAGAAGAAAGGGCTTGGATCACCCACAGCCTGACTCATCAGTTTCCCGGGTGATCAAGAGTCGACAGCGTTTTGACAGACGCCAGGCGCGGTAGTATATGCCTGGTTGGATGAGAGGCAGGCAATAGCATTTGGGAGCCCATTGCTGTTTTTGACCAACACACACGGATGCGCGCGTACGCACCCACCCACCCACACACGCACACACGTCTACCCCACCCCCACTCCCATTTCCTAAATCTCTGAAAACTTCATGGAGTTTTAATATAGTTTGGTGCCATTAAAATGTCATGTTGTTTAAATAATTTTGTTTTATTGCAAGAGTAATACATGCTTATGAAAACTTTCTAAGTATCAGGGTATGAGGGGAAAGCAAAGAAAAAATGCCCCTAGTTTTCTTACATGGAAGCAGCCGCTGTCAGCATATTACCTTTATTCTTTTTTTTTTTAACATAGTTGAGGTCAGACTCTATCCTATTTTGCATCCTTTTTTCTTCAGTTAAGGAGGAAAGAAATGCTTATATTAAAATGTTATGGCACACTTGTAAACAGTATTTTTAAATATCATGTTCTAATATGTGGAAACATCATTTTGAGTTTAAGCTAAGATGGTGAAGCATTTTTAACATGTCTTGAAAGGCATGCACTCTTTCAAGTTATCCAGCACTACCTCTGAAGGGAAGATTTTATTGATGATAAAGTGGAAAAATTAAAGACTTCACAATATGCTAATACTTTTACTACCCTCTTCCTCCTGCTTTTATTCCAAAATTCCTTTGTAAGATGTTAGAAAAACTGAACTAATTTGGAACTGAACATGTCCTTGTGATTGTGTACTCTGCCCCTTCCTTACCGACTTGCCATCCTCATGGTTGTGAGATAGGTTATGTCCAGTCACTTTTCTCTCTGGTTATTTCCTCATTTTACTTCCTTTCTGAGTATGACTGCATGTTATAATTTTTTCCGTTGTCAGCGTCTCTACTGAGATCAGCTGAGAAAGTACGGCCATGCTGAACTCAGTTTTTGGGAATTCATGCCCCATGTGTTACATGGCCAGGATGCTGCAATGCTTGCTCATTCGTACAAACATGGGCTGGCTCTTTCTCCAGACTGTGGTACACACTCGGGTGTAGTTTGGATTCCTTTGAGCTGACTCTGTTGCATATAGCAGATTATTTCAGGAGCAGAATTGAATATTTTGAGCTTTTCCGCGTGGTAAAACAAGTAATAATATGCATGAAATCTAATATTTGTAACCTCACCCATGCCCATACCTTTCCTGTAAGCATAATAAGGCAGTGGGTGAAGAGTAATAACAGCTAATGTTTCTGAGCTCATACTGTGTGCCCAGAATTAGGACTGGTGTCTTCATGGGTTAAGTAGTTGAATGCTATTAGCATCTCCACTTCATAAATGAAAAAACCTGAGGCTGTGAGATGATAGGTAACTTGCTCAAGAGGATTTGAGTAACCAATCTTCTGGGCTTTCCAGGTGACTCAGTGGGTAAAGAACCTGTCTGCAATACAGGATGATGCTGGAGATATCAGTTTGATTCCTGGGTTGGGAGGATCCCCCGGGGAAGGGCACAACAACCCACTGCCTTATTCTTGCCTGGACAGAATCCCATGGACAGAGGAGCCTGGTGAGCTACAGTCCGTAGGACTCATAGTCAGACATGACTGAAGTGACTGAGCATAGCACAGTGCAACCAGTCTCCCAAAAAGTTTGCACTGACAATTCATATGTGTTCTGTAGAGTTTGTGGAGCTATTTTTTAAAATTATTATTATTTTAATATTGGAATATCTAGGTTAATATCAAGATGCACATATTCGAGGTTTCATGAGAAAGGGCTCTGGCTTTTGTGGTTTCAGTTTGTTCCTATTTAGGAACAGCTTGCTTCATCCCAGCTGGTGCAGACTTCTCTTTTAGAAAAAGGCAGAGCCCTGTCCTCTTGGGGCTGCATGTAGTTCCTGGGAGCCTCTGAAGTCCCTTAGGAAGCCTGGCTTTTCCCCAGTGAACTCCTTTAGAGCAAAGGTAGGAAATCTGTTCTAGTTGAGTTTTAGAATGGCTCCAGCAGTAAGAGGCTAGGGTTGGCTTTCTCCAGCATCCCTGAGCCTGAAGTAGAGTTCAGGACACAGGAAGACATACCTGGCCCTTTCCCCAGGTCCAGCAGAGAAGCAGCACTCTTGTGCTTGGTTAAGACTGATTCCCTATGTAGTTCTCCAAACTCTGCTCCTACCATGGAGGGAAATTCAACCCATTTCCAGAAAGCTCTTCCTGCCTCCACCCAGAGTAACCTCTGAAGAGTTTGCCTGAACTCTGGCTTTTAAAATTTGTGAGTGAAAAATAAGAAAAGTCTTTCATAAGGTCAAGCTCTGTTTATACTCCTACAGAATGTTCAAATAAGGAAAAGGAGGCCATGAGGAACCCAGGACAGGACCTGGGCCGGAAGTGGGGGTGGTGGGGCTGGCTGAGCTGAGGTAACAGACCAAGAAGTAAAGACACTGGGAACTGTTGAAACTTGGAAGTGGCCTCCAGGGTTGGCTGTTGAGAATGTCATGTTCAAGTTTACCCTCATCTCATTCATTCCAGTTTGTGAGTGGGCAGGGACTCCCTGATTCAGAACAAATTCTCCCGTGTAATCCACAAATCTAGAACTCATGATTCAGGCTGCGTGATTCTCTTACTAGTTACACTGAATTCAGGAGACAGGAAACCAGAGAGGCATTTGCTTTAATCTTTCTATTTCATATTTATTATTACTCCTACCTACTAAAGCACAGTAAAGGCTACTGTATAATTACCTTGCTTTCTCGTGTGTGTGTGTGTGTGTGTGGTTTAAGTCTCCTTTGTAGCATTTCTCAGAAACTTTTGATGGAAAAAAAAGTGAGAAGATTGACTTGTTTACACTTAACTGGTTAGCCTCACAAAGTGAGGTATAAAAAAAAAATTTGGTGAAAAATAGTTTAACTTCTTGAACACCCATGGTTTCCCAATGTCATAGTAATAAAGAAAAAAATAGTCTTTCATTTAATTTTCCTCCCCCTCATTTTCCTCACCAGGCTATCTTTCCTGTGGATGGTGTCCCTGTTATACAGCTAACTGTATGATGTGGAAGTCTCACACACTGTACATTTCAGGACTGTAGTTTGTTTTTATTTATTTATTTTTGCATGCAATGAAAATCCCAAGGCTAGTTAATAGCCTGCCATGAGGCTTCAGGAAGATGTCAACAGAAACAATATGTTGACACTAACTGAAATCCTCCATCGGGAAATATTTGTTTTCTACACAAGCTGCAGCTGGAAAAGTCTGAAGAGCCCTATAAAATCTTGAATGCTAATAAAGTATGTTTTTCATTTAATAAATATTTACTGGGCACCTTTTTTATGTGCCAGGACCTGTTCTGGGTGCCAAAGATACAAAAGTGAACAAAACCGACAATGCCCTTATGCTCTTGGTGGGAAAAGAAAGACAGGAAACAAGTAAATGGATTAATTAGTGGTGAAGTCCTTTCACAAGGTGATAAATGCCATGGAGAAAGCAAAGTGATGGGTAGAGAGGGATAGTGGGGTACCATAGAAAGGTTGACCAGGGAAGGCTTCTCAGAGGAGGTGACTTCTGAAACTCAAAGGATGAAGGGGTTTTATATATATATACATATGTATATATGTATATATATACAACTCAAAGGTTATGAAGGGGTTTATACATGGCAGAGACTCAAATTGACTTCAGAGTAGATCTATAACAAGCTTGTATCCTGGATGCAACAGATGAAAATCCACATCATGCCCGAGGAGTGTGTGTGTGTATTGGATGCATTTTCTCTTATGCAAAACTCAACCCCTTTTGGGTGTCTGTGACTCAGCATTACTTCCTGCATCACTTCACTGATCGTGTTCTTTTCTGAGGCTGCCCAGCTCCCGTCTTGCTGGCTGGCTTTTCTGTGTTGAAGTGGATGTGACTTTTGCAGTTAGAAGATCTGAGTGTTCTCTCAGAGTCCACGTGCTGGGCTGGGGTTGGGTAGGGTCAGAGGTGATATTAATAGAAATCCGGAGAAGGAGAGCCTTCCCCATCCTCTCCCGGAGACATCTGAGAGAGATGAGGACCATGCTGAAACAGAGACCCCAGTCTCTGTGTAGCTCGTGGCTTTAATAAAATTTAAAATGTGATGAACATGGAAACTTCCTTGGGGCTATGGAGAGCATTCTGTGCATAATCTAGCAAAAAGAAAAACCCTTTGACCCACTCATCTTCAAACACTTGAAATTTAAATTGCATGTATGTATTTTTAAAGACAATGTATTACCATTGTTCAAAACTCAAAAGAACCAAGAAAATGTGCAGTGTTAAGTCACCCATTCTTGACTTCTGGGGCAACCAAATATCTCTCTATAAAATAGAGATATTTTCTATATGTCTACAAGCAAAAGGGGGAGGATAGTCTTTTCCCTGTTTATTAAACATATATGTTATATATGTGTATACATGTAGATATACATATTTAACAGAGCATTTTCAACATATAATACATAATACATTTGAACATATAATACATAAAAAGCTTTCTAACTCTTTATTGCTAAATAACATTTATTGTTTGCATTATAGTTTATTAACTGGATCCCTATTGTTGGACATTTAGGTTGTTTCAGTCCTTTGTCGGAACACATAACGTTGCAGTAAGTACCCATTATATGCGTCATTTCACATATATACTAAGGGCTGTGGGGTCTAAGGATATGTGTTCTATAATTTTGATAGATGATGCCAAATTACCTCCTGGAGAAGTCTTATTCTCACCAACAATGAAGCGTACCCCTTTAAACCCAGCATCTCTAGTTACTGGGACAAGCTTCATTGTTGGCCACTCAAGGTAGCTTGTTCAGGAAACTTGCAGGGCTTTGGTCTCCTGTTCGCCCGTCTCCTGCATCAGGCTTGAGCTCCCGCCGATTGTCCGCCGTTGCATGTCGCTTGCCGCGATGGCTTCAGCGATGCCGATGTGAAGAAGCAGATTAAGCACATGATGGCTTTTATTGAACAAGAAGCCAATGAGAAAGCAGAAGAAATTGATGCAAAGGCAGAAGAGTTCAACATTGAGAAAGGTCGTCTTGTGCAAACCCAAAGACTGAAGATTATGGAATGTTATGAGAAGAAAGAAAAGCAGATTGAGCCGCAGAAGAAAATTCAGATGTCCAATTTGACGAATCAAGCGAGGCTCAAAGTCCTCAGAGCGAGAGATGACCTTATCATAGACCTACTGAATGAAGCAAAACAGAGACTCAGCAACGTGGTAAAAGATGCAACCAGGTACCAAGTGCTGCTGGATGGACTAGTCCTCCAGGGTTTCTACCAGCTGCTGAAGCCCCGGATGATTGTTTGCTGCAGGAAACAGGATTTCCCTCTGGTGAAGGCTGCAGTGCAAAAAGCAATCCCTGTGTACAAAGTCGCAACCAAAAGAGACGTTGATGTCCAGATTGATCAGGAGGCCTACCTGCCCGAGAAAATAGCTGGTGGTGTTGAGATCTATAACAGGGACTGCAAGATCAAGGTGTCCAACACACTCAAAAGTCGGCTGGACCTCATAGCTCAGAAGATGATGCCTGAAGTGCGGGGAGCCTTGTTTGGTGCAAATACCAACAGGAAGTTTTTGGACTAAGCCAGCAAGTGGTGCATGACGTGGACGCTCCCAACATTGGAAGAAATGAGATGGCCTGATAGCTTCTTCTTTGCTGTCCTCTGCTCTTATTTGTCAGTGGTTGCTCTTCTGTAGCTAACGTTCTCTGACTGATGGGTAATGATGGGAGTCTCAGTTAGTACAATAGGAAAACTTCCTCTAGCTTGTCTCAAAGTAGCACAACTTCCCGCCATTCTGTAGCTCGCAGTTGCAGGGCCAGGTGTGGGTGCATGCGTGTCCCGCACCTCCTGCTGTCCTGGGCTCCACCATCCAGCCTACAGGCGGTGGGGTGTAGACTCAGTCCTCCAGTGCATGTGGGCCTCATCCCTTCCAGCAGCAGCAGCAGCTTCTCACCTATGTGTTTGGACCTGGAAGTAGTCTGTAAATGTGATTTTAAGGTCTATTCCATGAATCTGCTCTATTTATTAAAACACAACGTGGAGGTGGGAACAAAAAAAGGAAACTGGCAAATCCTGGCACAAGTAAACATTGGTAATTTAAAGGAAAAAAAATAGCAATTTCCCTGCCATAGTTCCAAGTTCTAGAGAGAATACTGATGCCTTATCTCCAAGTGATCTAGTAAATAAATCTGTATTGACCCAAATAAGATCTTTCTAGCCCCTACTCATCTGCATCCACCATGCTCCAGAAATAAATAAGCTCCAGTAACAACTACAAGGCAGGTCCTAACTCAGTGAAAGTGGATGAGTGATATGAGTAAATTAAAAGTATGTTTTTATTTACTCTTAAATTTTAAAGCAAATTCAAGACACTGTGTCATTTCACTCATACATATTTTATTATGCATGTCTAAGAAACTATGATCATTTCTTTATATCACCACAACATAAAGCTGTTATTACAAATATTAATAGGAAAATTATAATTCTTTAGACTTATCTAATAACAAGTCCATATAACTAAATTTTCCTGATTCAAGATTTTTTTTTTTTTTCAGGATCCTAACATGTCTTTATTTATTTATTTTTTTAAATTAGTTGGAGGCTAATTACTTCACAATATTATAGTGGTTTTGTCATACATTGACATGAATCAGCCATGGATTTACATGTATTCCCCATCCCGATCCCCCCTCCCACCTCCCTCTCTACCCAATCCCTCTGGGTCTTCCCAGTGCACCAGGCCCTTTTTAAAATTGTTTTCTTCAAATTGGTATCTGAACAAGATCCTAAAATGACATTGAGGTTGGTCTGTTTCTCTGAATCTGTGTGACCTCCTCTTATCGTTTGATTTACCTCCATTGACCTTTTGAGGAAAGGAAGTCTGTGGTCCTGTGGAATGTCTCATATTGTGAATTGGCTGTTCACATACTTATGGTACCGTTTAACTTGTTCCTCTACCCCTTCTGTGTCCTAATGCTAAATGGATGTTAGCACTAAAGGCTTATCACATTTGGCTTCAGCTTTATTGGCAAGAATGCATCATAGGTGTTTCTGCCAAATGATGGGTTTTATGTGATCAGTTTGTCAACAGAGATCTGAACAGCAGGTTTTCTTCTCCTGACTCTAACTTCTATCAAATTTTTATTTTTACCTGACTTCCTATCTTTCTCCTTCTATACAACCACTTTCCAAGAATGAGATCAGCTGTTTGTATCGGAGCTGATTAATAAAGAATGTGAATTAGAGATGGGAAGACAGGAGCCTGGCAAGTCCACACTTGGTCAGTGCCTCCCCGAGGTCTCCCTTGGCTCACCGTTCTCTGTAGGCCAGAGTCTCTAACAGAACTTTCTCTGATGATGGAAATGCTCTCTATCTGCACTCGCAATATGATAACCACTAGCCATATGTGGCGGAGAAAGCAATGGCAACCCACTCCAGTTCTCTTGCCTGGAAAATCCCATGGACGGAGGAGCCTGGTAGACTGTAGTCCATGGGGTCGCAAAGAGTCGGACACGACTGAGCAACTTCACTTTCACTTTTCACTTTCATGCATTGGAGAAGGAAATGGCAACCCACTCCAGTGTTCTTGCCTGGAGAATCCCAGGGATGGGGGAGCCCGGTGGGCTGCCGTCTATGGGGTCGCACAGAGTCAGACACGACTGAAGTGACTTAGCGGCAGTAGCAGCAGCAGCCATATGTGGGTAGTTATTCCTTGAAATGTGACTCATGTGGCTAAGAAAGTGAATTTTTAATTAAATTTAAGTAGCCCTGTGTGGCTAGTGGCTACCATATTGGATAGTACAGCTGTAGAGTCATTTTTCAATGCCTTGGGGTACAGACCTTTCCCAACTGCCTTGGGAACTAAATATTACTTTTCCTTTTTTAAAAGTCATATTTATTTTATTTTTTTTTAAAAAATGGTTTTTATCAAAAGTCATATTTAATGTATTTAGTTACATTGATTTTTCCAGAGCTGCCACTGAACTTAGCAGTTCATGTGCTTCTCATGAGCTACCAGTGACACCAAATCCACCCGGGGTTGACTCAGAACAGATGATGGAAGGAAATCACCATCATAGGACAGGCCCAGATCCTGAGTGCATGCAGGATACAGTTCCATCTGCCAAACTGATAAGGAGCCTATGGTTAAAAAGCAAAAACGTGCTCGCCATCAGGATGTACAGCACAGGCATGTTATAGCCCAGTAGATATGTGAATGTGGACTTTGAAAAGAATCTCAGGTGCCAGTTGTTGTTTTTTTTCCCAAATCATATGCCCAGTGTAACTGATGTCCACAGTGGTAGAGAAATGAATGAATATAGATGCTATATCTGGATGTTTTCAAACTGACCAAATGCTGAACATCTTCACTTTGAAAAGCATTGTATTGTTTGGGGCAAAGGAGGGGGTACAGAGAGGATTAGGACATGGTGCCTACCCAAGAGGAGCTTGCAATCTAGTAATAGATTATTAGCCATCAAGTATTGATTATGTGCTAAGCATTGTTCGTAATTCTCATCTGATCCTACACCAACGGTCTATAAGGAAGGCATTATGAGTTCCATTTGAGAGATGAGGAGATTGAGGCCCAGGGAGCTTCAGTAAACTGCTAGCTCAGAGTAACACAGCTTCTGGAAGGGTAGAGCCAGGATGCAAACTGAGACCGAACTACCATTCTATTTCCCCAGGGTTGGGGTAATAGTCTCCTGAGGAGCCTTCCTATCCGTGTTTCAAACCACACCTTCTCACCGTGTCACTCCTGTGCTCAAAGCCCTGCTGTGGCTTCCTGTCTCTTACCCAGAGTAAGAGGCAAAATCCTTACACAGGCCAACAAGAACCTATGTGATCCACCCTATTACCTTGCTGTCCACTCCCTTCTACCTCGCTTGTTTTGCTCAGGTCATTCTGGTCTGCTTTCATTTTAGGGCCTTTGCACCATCTTAGGGATTACTCTTCTAAGAGCATGTTTTGTTCAGATACCTAAGTGACCTGCTCCAGAATCTCCTAGTCTCTACATGAACGTCACCTTCTAATGAAGCTTACACTGAGCATGCATCTTCTATCTCATTTTATTTTGACCTGTATCACCTGCTAACATATTTTTTAAATATCAGAGTATAGTTGATTTATAATCTTGTATTCATTTCCAGTGTACAGCAAAGTGATTCAATTGTACATGTATAAATTGATTCTTTTTCTGATTCTGTTCCTTTATAGATTATCATTAGATATTGAATGTAGTTCCCTATGATATAAAATACCTGCTGGTGTATTTTATGACTCACTTATTTGTTGTTAATTATGACTTTGCCCCTCACCCCACGCATGCACATGAATATAAGTTCTATAAGGGCAGAATCTTCCTGCCATTTGTTCACTGCCATTTTGCAAGCATCTAGAATGTACCAGAATAATACAGTGGATATTCAGTAGATATTTATTGACAAAAGATGAATGAAGCTCAGGAATGTCCAGTTTCATCCTTGCACAGGGGCCATGCTAATCTCTGTATTGTTCCAATTTTAGTATATGTGCTGCCGAAGCGAGCACAGGAAATGTCCAGTTTCAAAGCCATACTTAAATTTAATGTATAAACAAGTACCTACTTGTTTAGGCCTGCTAAGTTGTCCTGGTTATTTTAAAACACATAGCCATGCAGACTCACATAGGCAAATGAGAGTAACCCATGCAAATATCTGTCAAACTGACTGCCTTTAGTTTTAAGATCACTTGGCATAGCACTAATGAAGCTGTCACTGCAGCGTCTTATAAGGCCCGCGTGGTCAGGAATTGTGGACAGTGGGCTTCCACATATAAGGACACTGCCCCAGCACTGAAGAGTGACCTTTTATATGTGTGCATGCACAGCTTTGTCCCCTAAAAAAGCAGAAATACCAAGCTTGTCATCACTGGCCTTGTTGAAAGCTGAGACACAAGCTGATGATTAAGGAAAGTAGCACCTCAGTCAGTGTGCATAGTGAGGAAGAAAGGATGTAGTCTTAGGATTAAGCAGTAAGTTTTGCCACCCTGAAATTCAAATTATTTAATGGAAGTTTTATTTCTTTTTTAAAAAACAGGTTATTCTTGGTGAAAATTTGGCCTCGAATTGTCCAGAGGTTATCTATGAAATCAAAGAAGAAACCCCTGTTTTCTACAAACTTGTTCCTCATCCTAAGAAGAATATCTACATCTATCTAACAGCTGGAAAAGAGGTAGGCAGAAATACTAGTTACCATTTCTGTCTTATGAATACAAACTGTTTGACTGATGTCATTATCCGATGGTAAAGCTTGTACTTTGAACTACTGAGTTTAAACACTGCTGCAGGCTTTGAGAAGACCTACAGTGGTTCACAGGCATGGAATTAAAAACCTTACTGTCAGTAAGTAAGCAAGAAATATTACCTATTTAGACAATTTTATTATTGGCTATATTTCCAATGCCAAGTTTTTCAGAGAAGTGTGTGCTTGCAAATGGGTGCATAATCAGCAAGGTAACTGAATTTACACATTTATCATGTGGGCATTGAATGGTTAGATGCATTTATGAATATGCCCAATGGGATTGGCTTTGGAATTTGGGGTTAATATCAGGCCACAGTCTCATACACATTCATGAGCCAGGAAATATATGGCACCCACCCTCTCTTAATTTATCTGGCTGTTTTAGTTTTTCTTCTTGCTTCTGCTTACTGAAATAAAAAGGATGCCTTTTTACATTTCCTTCAGTTTTAAAAGCGCTTTCACCAAGGGAAAGAGGAGGGGAACTAATTATTATTGAGTTCCTACCAGTGCTGTATTAGTTACTATTCCAAAGGGAGTCTCTCTAGATGCATAGAATTGTACACACAAACACACCAACCCCAAAATATAATAAACAACATTAACAAAATCTGCCAATAATATAGTAAGATAAAAATTACCCTTGTTTTATATATGAGGAATCTAGGACTCAGGCTAAATATCTTCTCAAGGATATATATATACATATATACATGTAGGGTCTTGTCAGGGGTAGGACTTAAATTCTACCCTGATCTTAAAGCCCATAATTGTTGTTGTTCAGTCACTAAGTCATGTCCAACTCTTTGCAGTCCCATGGACTGCAGCACACCAGGCTTCCCTGTCCTTCACTACCTCCTGGAGTTTGCTCAAACTCATGTCTATTGAGTCAATGACGCCATCCAACCATCTCATCCTCTGTCACCCTCTTCTTCTCCTGCCCTCAATCTTTCCCAGCATCAGTGTCTTTTCCAATGAGTCAGCTCTTCACATCAGGTGGCCAAAGTGTTGGAGATTTAGCTTCAGCATCATTTCTTCCAGTGAATATTTGGGGTTGATTCCCTTTAGGATTGACTGGTTTGATCTTCTTGCAGTCCAAGGGGCTCTCAAGAGTTTTCTCCAGCTCCACAATTTGAAAGCATCAGTTCTTCAGTGCTCAGCTTTCTTTATGGTCTAACTCTCAAATCCATTCATGACTACTAGAAAAACCATAGCTTTGACTATACAGACCTTTGTCGTCAAAGTGATGTCTCTGCTTTTTAATATGCTGTTAAAGCCCATAATAAGTGGGATCAACCCCAAATTTGTGAAAACCAAACCTTCTTTCATGGTTGTTTTGACCCATGACCATTTGAACATACAAAGTGCAAAGATAACTGAGACTTACATAATTACATGATGAATGTAACATGCTCTCGGCCCACCCCCATTTTTCATTCTTCTCCTCTCCATTATTCTAAGGAGAGCAGCAATGACATCAATCTCCATGTACCGGCCAAGTCGCAGAGATGATATGTGAGCCATTTAGAGCTTCTGACTTTCCTAAAAAGGCCATATTGCCCTTTGCATGTTGAAAAGGCAGCTATTCAAAATGACCACATTGAGATGGCCAGTGGATCTCATATACCTTTGTTCTTCACCATACAGAACCTTTGCAAACAGCTTGCTTCAACATTTAAACACTGTCTATTATGTTTCTTCCCCCAGGGCTCCCATAGTTGAAAGATTTTTGTCTACTCAACAAACTGCATTTATTAAGTAACAATTCCCATTCTCAGGCTTTATTTATCAAGGGCATCTCAAAACCGCCACTCAGAGCGCTGACTGTGCTACCACAGGGAGCTGATAAAATTCCAGCTCAAAGCAAAGACACTTGTAGCCTTGCTTAGTCTGTGCATGTTTTTATAATCAGCTTTTTGAAACATTGCAAATAGTTCATAAATCCTCCCCCCAAATCCCAGACTGTGGGCTGAGAACCACAGTGAGAACCACCAGTAGTTGATAGATCCTCACTTTCTAAAGGTGAAGAGTTCTAGTCTGGCCATTCAAAGCCTGAAGACCTGGGAAGAGTTTTCCACTGGGCATCAAAGCTGGCTATTCTTACTTTCTTCACTTAGATTCACTGCTGGAGTTCCTATTAGTAAGACTCTGGTCTTCTGGTTGAGCCAAGATAGGCCCTACAGAGGCAAAACCCAAGGAAGATCCTTCCTCAACTCAGGGAAATAGGAGCAGACAAACTGAAGCACCCTGGTACATCCATAGAACACCTGGTCATTAAAAACAACCATATGGGGATAGCTGCATTGTTGTGGAATAACCCCTATAATGTGTTAAGTTAGAGAAGCAGGTCCAGTGTAGTAGTTATGGTGGCCTTTCTTTAACATGGGTTTCCCTGGTGGTTCAGACAGTGAAGAATCTGCCTACAATGCAGGAGACCCAGGTTTAGTCCCTGGGTTGGGGAGATCCCCTGGAGAAGGAAATGGCTACCCACTCTAGTATTCTTGCCTGGGAAATCTCATGGACAGAGGAATCTGGCAGGCTACGGTCCATGTGGTTGCAAAGAGTTGGACAGCACTGAGCGACTAACACTTTCACTTTTTTTTCAGAGTAATTCTCATAGAATGTTCTGGAGATTTATTTTGTACTAAATGTTCTGAGCAAAAGTGGTCCTGGGAGCAGATGTTACCTACTATATCCTTCCTAGAGTATCATAACCAGAGCATTCAAATGCTCTCAGAAGCCTTGTGCTAAGGAAACCTAGTTTGCTTTTTCCCTGTGGTTTCACATGTTTGTTGGACCATGGGAACTTTTTCCAATGTAGTAGCAAGAACCAACATTTATTGAGCAATGTTGGTAATAACCCTGTGAAGTCAGCAGTACCATCACCATGTCACAGGTGAGAAAACAAGGTTAGAGAGATTCCGTGACATTTGTGAAAATACCCCAGAATCACAAAGATGTCCTGTGAGCTACAAGGAAGTACCCACATTCTGATTAATTTTGGCTCAGGCTGGTGGCCTGCCCGCTGTGTCTGTCAGCCACCCTGGAGACTGTGAGATGGTGGGTGTGGTTATCCTCCACGAAGTCAGCTTAAAATGGACTGTTCAGGATAGCCTCTGCTTTTCTCACAAACTCCATCTAGAACTCTCTGTTTCTCTGTATGTTTGAAGAAGTTACTTATAGTCTCCAGCCGGTACAACTTCCTGGCTCTGAGTTCTACAGGTTTCCTGACTACCTGCTGTGGGATTTTGCCTGCAAAAAATGTGCTGTGTGAGTCTCAGGTCCTCCCTGCTTCCCCCGACCCTGCTTGGAGGCTTGGCCTGCCTTTGGGGCCTGGGTTTGCCCATCACCATCTCCCTCTCTGGGGGCTGCTGTTTCCTGACAACTGGAAGAGGCAGATCCAGGGGCTGAGAATGATTGGAAAACTCCTATTTCTTTTATTTTCACCTTCAGTGGAGGGAGTGTGAGCAGTGAGCTGGGAGCTGAGGTGATGGAATACCCCTGAGGGGGCGTGGGAGGGTGGTCCTCATTTCCATGCCAAGTGTCAACCTCCTGCTGACACTTGGGGTCAGAGCCTGTTGCTTTCCCCTGATGCTCATCTCCAAGGTGCTATTGACTGTTGCTGTCTGAACACCAGGTGACCTGATTCCACGATCTCGGAAATCACTATTAGCAGATCAGAAAGCTAACTATGTACCAGGCTCACCTGTGAGCACTCTTTAAAAATACAGATTCCTAGACCCCTGCCCCAGTCCTGCTCAACTGGAGTCTCAGCAGCAGGGGGTCTGGGAATCTGCCCTTTCAAGAGCTCCCCCCAGGAGATGCTGATAAACTGCTCCATACCCTAAGACTTGAGAACCACTGCCCGATGTCGTTACACAGACGTTCAGCGTTTGAGTTGATAAATGTCTCCTCGTGGCCCTTCATCAGATAAGGTGTTGGAGTTTTTCTGGTGTTGCTTATAATTCCATCTGAACTGCCATCATCTTTATTTTTAGGTGAGGAGAATTCGTGTTGCGAACTGCAGTAAACATAAATCCTGTTGGGAGTGTTTAGCAGCAACAGACCCTCACTGCGGTTGGTGCCATTCGCTACAAAGGTACTTCCTGAGTTTTCTCACCGACTTGCAATTTTGAAAGTGTGATGCGGCTGCACACTTGTTGCCCTACTTAAAGGATACATTCCAATGACCTGGGGGAACTGATCTCGGCGCCCACTAAAATATTGTGTAATCCAAATTCATTCTTGGGGATGTTCCCAGCCACCTCGGTATTACTGAAATCATTTGACCTGGACGGCTGAGAGGGTCCCCAACCTGGAAGGGTAGGGGGAGTTGGAGGTGGGGGAGAGGGGATAAGTTGGAGCTGTCAGTTTTACTTTCTGCAGAGTTCTCTAAGACTAGAGAGAGAGAGAAGACAGAAGGTTCTCCCTCAGCGGAGATAAAAGAATAGGCGTGTTTGAAATGTTTCAAATGAACCCTCATGATGTCACGTATTCGGTCGGCTTCCCGGAGCCTGATTATTGATGATGTTGTCTCCTGATGCGCGGTACAGCTGTGCAGTCACAGTCTCCGGGCAGAATCTGCCCGGCCCGGTCTTGAATTACGATGTTCACGACCCATCTAGGCTCAGGGCGACTTGTGGCAGCTTTCCGCCATGGCAGCTCCCAGTGTCGCTGGGACCGGCCTGGTTGGATTCACTGTTGCCATGGCAACCCAGTACTCAGGCTCTGCTATAGAAGTGAGGAGAGGAGGGCCTGCTGCAGCTCAGGCAGAGGGGAAAAAAAACACACCGTAACAGTGGCTGTCAGTTTGGTGCTTTCAGTTTTTAAAGGTGAAAAAGGATAAGAAAGAGTAGAACAGGAGCCGAGAAGCTGAAGGCTAAACAAGAGGCAATTTGGGGAAAGAAAAGAAGACTGAGAAAGAGAATTTGGGAGGCTTTTGGGGGGATGAAGGCAAGAGGATTGAAGGGAGGTGGGGGGAAATACAATATAAGCAAGAGGTTCAGGAAACAAAATAAAAATATGGGGATGGAATTAATTAAGAGTTCATGGAGGAAGTCTGAAGCTGAGATGCAGCAAGATGCATAATTGTCCTTGCCTTTCGCTGAGCTTCCTTGCCGGGCTATTGCTGTCAGAATCACCAGCAGACAAAAGAAGCAGGGCCAGGAAGAGTCTCATGAATAATTGTAATTGGGTAGGAACGTTTTCTTCTTGTGGCTTGTCTAAGACTAGACTTGAAGAAAATTAACTGATCACGAACAGACCTGTATCGCCGCACACCCACTAAACAGTTTTGCTATAATCTTTCCAACCCTTTCACTGATGTAGGCTCTCTGTGTTTGCAGAGCTCTGTGCAGGAGTTAATTCAGTAACAGTGCTGGAACTGGTGGTGATGGTCACAGTGGTGATGTGATTCAATAGCTGCATGTAGCTAGTGGCCACTCTATGGGCAAACACAGGTCTGGCATTCATAGGAGATGTCTGAATTGGAGAAGTGAATTTGGGGGGGTTAGTAGTGTTCAGGTGGTACATGTCATGAAGTCGTAAGACGAGTGAGGGAGGGGGCATAGATGGAGGAGAGGGGTAGTTGGAGAACTGAGCTTTGAGTTCAGTGAGCGTGGGTGCAGGGCTTAGGGGTCAGGGAGATGAAGAAGAAATAGACCTGAGGAGAGAACAGCCAGAAGGGGAAGAGGAAAAACTAAAGAAGGTGGCTTCTTGGAGGCCCAGGGAAGAAAGGAGGAGGGGAGTGGTCCATCGTGCCAGATTGTGCTGAGATGTCAAGCAAGAAAAGAGAACTGAACCACTGGACTTAGCAGGTGATTACTGCCGACTGTGACAAGGACAGGAAGTAGTGATAAAACTGTAAAGAGAAAATGAGAAGAGGATGGAGCGGAGACAACTCTTTCGAGGAGCTTTGCTGAGAAAGACAGCAGAAACATGGAGCAGACATTGTAGGAAGATGTGAAGTCCAGAGAGTTGTTTTTTAAGATACATGAAATAACTGTGTTTTTGTGCTACTGGGAAAGTTCTAGTAGTGTGGGAGAAACTGACAATACATGAGAGAGAAGAGAGAATCGTGGGGCGTCATCTTTCTGCAGATGAAAGACAATATGATCTCCTGTGCCAGTGGGGGTGCCCAGCCTCAGCCAGGAGCATGGGACCCTTCATCCTTGGTCATGGGAGGGCAGGAGGAAAATATGGGCTCAGGAGCAGGCCAGTGGTGGAAGTGTATGCAGTGTCTTTTCTTGTGACTTTGCATTATTTTCAGGAATGTATGGTGAGTGACAGTGAAGTGAGGGAGGAAGCCCTGGAGTTGGAAGAGAGAAGTGAGAGAAGGTACGGAACAGAGTGGACAAGAGAACAGAGCTGGGAAATGAAGAGCAATTGCCAGACAGTATCCGGGTGCCCTTGAGGTCCATGGTATTGATTTTAAAGTGAGAGCAGTAAGCCTGGTTCTGCTTTCACAAGCCACGTTTGGCACTGTGGGCATAAGGGTAGGATAGGGGAGAGTTAGATTTAGCTAGAGATGGGACTGGTGGCTCAGTGGTAAAGAATCTGCCTGAAATACAGGAGACACAGGTTCAATTCCTGGGTTGGGAGGATCCCCTGGAGGAGGGCATGGCAACCCACTCCAGTACTCTTGCCTGGAAAATCCCCATGGACAGAGGAGCCTAGCAGGCTGCGGTCTATGGGGTCACAAAGAGTCGGACAGGACTGAAGTGACTAAGCAGCAGCAGGGAATTTTCAAGACAGGGAAGTGGGGTCCAGGAGCTGAGGGTGCCTGATGATATGGATTTGGATACTTAAAATTGTGGACTCTGGGCTTCAAGCTGGAAGTGAGCTCTAAGGAGGGAAGTGAAGATGGGCGTGAGGGATGGGAAAAGGTAGCCAGCTCTGTGCAGGGGAGATTGTTTTGGGGTTTAAGACTCGTGAGACCTGGGGAACTGGAGAAGAGGTAGTGGTCGGACTATAGGGAACTTGAAATTAAGGACATGGAGGGGGCAGAGTTATTGGTCCTGACAAGGTCTGGGGTGGGATTGTGTAGCTGAAGTAGGATGGAGGACAAGATCATTAGCAGAGAGGGTGGGGAACTGAGGGGTCACAGAGTTCAATGGGCCAGTCATCAAGACGGACTATGGAACAATTTGGGAGGGACTGAGGAGCAAGATATTAAAAAAAAAGAAAGGAATTGCCTGCAGGCAGCATGGTCTGTGGATGGTCGCGTCAAGGCAGGGCCAGGGGGCCTCTGGGCAGATGGCCCAATGGCTTGAGCTTCAGAGCTGGGGTGTGGGGAGCAGGCTTGGAAAGAAAGGAAGAAGAATCATCCTAAAGAGGCAGCAAGACACAAGGAGGACCCTTATGATGAGAGAGGGGAAGCAGACAGCCTTTGGTGGGCCGCAGGAATCAGCGTCCTTAGGGAGAGCCTGGTTTCAGGATGAACGAGACAGTGAAGGAAACAGTTGGAGAACCTGAAGACTCCAGGGATTTTATTGATGATGGGCTATGATAAAGGAGTTCCCGCATTCTAGAAAAGGATGCTCATAGCTACCCCTGCTTCTGCTCCTGTTCCCTCACCCCTGCCCCAAGAGGAGTGGGCTTTTAAAAATCTCAACCGGATCATTTCATTCCCCAGCTTAAAAACCTCCACTGGCCTCCATTGTAGAACTCAGTCTAACTCCCTTACTCACGGGAACCCGAATACAGAGCTTCTAAGAATCAGGTCCTTGGTTACTTGGCCCTTTCTTTCTAACTTAAGAATATGCCAGATGTGTTCCTCCCACAGGGACTTTTAACTGGCTGTTTCCTCAATCTAGAAAATTCTTCCCCAAATCTTGCCACGGTTGATTCTTTCTTACTCATCAGGTCCCAGCACAGTGACCCAGTCTGAAGTAGCCTCACCTCACTCCCAGTGACATCACTGTTTTATTTTATTCCTGGCCCCATCACTACCTGGCTTCCCTGGTGACTCAGTGGTGAAGAATCTGCCATGAGACCTGGATTGAATCCCAGAGTCAGAAAGATTCCCTGGAGAAGGAAATGGAAACCCACTCCAGTATTCTTGCCTGGAGAATCCCATGGACAGAAGAGCCTTGTGAGCTACAGTCCATGGGTCACAAAGAGGTGGACATGACTGAGCAACTACCACACACACACATCACTACCTGAATGATCTTCTTTCTCTGCCTCTTCCTTTATTAAAATGTAAGTTGCTTGGGAGCCTTGTCTTGTTCATGACCATATCCCCAGAATCTAGAACAGTGCTTGGCACATGGTAGGGGTGTTAAAAGTGGATGTTAAATGAATGGAGATTGAGTGGTTGGGGAAGTCTACCAATGGCAGGCTGAGATGTGTTAAGTATGATTAAAACATTCCAGGTTTGTGAACTGATGGCCCTTCCCAGTCATGTCAGATCACTTGGATTCAAACTGGCTTGGTTCTGGCCTAGGATGAAATAAAACTAAGCCTCATATCTGTGACTCATGTTAAGCTCCCAGTACCATTCAAAATTAGGAATTCTAAAGGGGGATGTTTTCTTATAACTGTAGAGCATCCCACTGTGTTTATTTTAAATGTCACAGATTTATTTAGAAAAATAATTTGTTTTCTCTGTTGAGAAGGTTATTTTATTACATACATGTCTAGAAAGTGGATGTGTGGGGGGTGTGTGCAAGAAAATGATCTTAGCTTCCTTTGGATCGAGTGTGAAGAATGGGCATCCAGTATAAGGTGATAAAAAGCAATTAGATAAACAATGAGCTCGAAAAAGTGTAGTATTTTATTGTTGGAACCTCAAATCCAACCTATGCTGAATTTTTCTGTGTGGGTGGAAAGTGAATTTTTGCAGGCTGAATATCTTGGGTTTGGAAGCAGTTTCTCAGTTTCTCCCATATTGCAAAGCATAGCACATGTGTTCAGTTATGGATTTCCACAAAACTGGCAATCCTGAACCAATGAACGGGTGAGGTTCCAAAAGTTCATTTGCAAATTTGTTTGGCACTCCGAATGCATTTTTCCCATAGAGACAATGTCATAAATTAAGGGCTGATTCCCAAGTCAGCCCACAAAATTCAATTTATTTAATTTCAATAAATATTTATT